AGCTCCATCAAATAAATATTTTCAATCTATTATCCAATTTGTTTCCAAAACAAAAAATTACGTTTCCAACCACGTTTCCAAAACGTTTCCAGTGCTGGAAACGCGTTTCCAAAACGTTTCCAGTGCTGGAAACGCGTTTCCAAAACGTTTCCAAAATGGAATATTCCCAGAAACGCGTTTTCCCGCGTTTCCATCGCGTTTCCGTTTCCGAAACGCGAAACGCACTTTGCTTGGAGTTTCCATGCAACATAGGTCAAAACTATGGAGCAAAAGAAGATGAAGAGATCAACAAGACATGACAATGATATTCCTCTGGATCTAATCGTGGAGATACTCTCAAGACTGCCTACAAAATCGATTGCGAGATGTCGGTCCGTCTCTAAGCTCTGGTCTTCCTTGACCACCACTCCATATTTCATTAGCTCGTTTGCGACTCGGTCCTTGGCATCACGGCCTTGTGCTATGCTACTCTTCAGTAAAGGTGGCAAGCTGCTCGTTTTCTCTTCTCTAATACACAAGGACGATCCTCAAGTGGATCAATTTACAATCCCCAATAATGGTTACCTTCAACGTTACGATTCGGTCCACGGCTTGATTCATTTGCAAACTTCTACAGAGCTCATGATTTGGAACCCTACCATGAATCGTATCTTCACTTTACCTAAACTTGAATGCAGATACACAAGAGGATTTGTGGGATATGATCCTATTGACGATAAATACAAAGCACTCTACATTCTTGAAGGCAACAAGATTGGGATTCTTGCATTGGGTGGAGCTCATCAAGAATCATGGAGAATACTATCCGAAGGTTTCCCTAGGCATGGAGATATGAGAGCAAAAGACATGAGAAAAGCTTGTGTGCTGTGCATTGGAGTCATTTACTATCAAGGTCTTTCTGGTTTGCCTCTGGCTCATGCCATTATGAGCTTTGATCTCAGATCGGAAAGATTCACTTTGATTCAATATCCCAATGGCAATTACAAATCTCGCTTTTTTTTTCGTAACTTATGAGGGAAGATTAGCTTTGGCAAGTTCCACTAGCTACGATGATGGTATTGGATTATGGATTTTGGAGAATCACCAATGGATATACAAACACTTTCCTTCACCTGGTCTTCCTTACCGGCAATGGTCGTTCAAGGGCGTTACTGATGCTGGTGAATTTATTTTCCTTTTTACACCAGCCTATGGAATACAATTTTTGCAACTTAGTTCTATGGAACGGTTCGGTATTATTTATATTGATCCCAAGAAGAAAAAGTCTTTAAGACAAGTGTTGTTTCCAGGAATTCAACCTGACGATGTTAAGCAACTTGGTCTACGTAGACGCGATCGTGTTATGAGAGACGACTTAAGTGTTGTACCAAATCACATTGAGAGTCTCATGTCCTTGTAAAGAGCTTTCATTATTTCCTTACAATGACACTTAGTTATGCAGTTTTGTTAAGATTTTTCTTTTACTCACTTATTGATTGAATACCATTGGAAGGGATTTTTCTGACACTTTGCAATGTTATTGTTATTCTCATTTACACTGCTTTCTTTGTATTCAAAATGACACATGACAGCTCGATACTATCTCCCATGTAAAATAGGGTACAACTCTGGTTCTCAATCAGTCATTGGGATCTTTTATACCTTTCTCTGCTTCTGTTAACTCATCTCTATATTTATCCAACAGGCCATCACATCTCACCAGCAACTCATCTGCCAAAGGCGGTATTGCCGGGTTACGCCCGTCGTTGTAAAGATGAGCATTGAACTTGATCTGCCAGACATCGTGCCTAAACTGCTCTCGGTTTCTGTACTCTATCTTCCGTACCTTATCCCGGATTTTCGAGAGATCCATCGGGTGTTTAACAATGTCAAGATAGTCTGGAGCCTCCTTCTTTGAAACCGGTTTCAAGAAGAGGTACGACACTTGTACTTCTCTTTCTCTTAGTGTGTCCACTATACCTTCCAAGATGTTTGCTAGGCCAACCTGTTGGTAAATAAATCGAGAAGAGAAAAAACAAAGATGAGTTTCACAGAGCTTATAGGATCATGTATCAGATCATTTTCTGGCAAGACAACAAAAACCTATGTGACTGAATAATCGGATGGGTCTCAACAACAGCAACGGTGAGGACATATAAACACATGAAGGTATGAAATGTGGTTATAGAGCAATAACATAAAGTTGACCAAGTGAAATATGAAAGCAAAGAGAATTATACCTCTCCCTTTTTGCGTCGTTTTGGTTGAGGCGCGTACTCTGCCCCGTTCCTCTCAAAGTCAGAGACATATTGGCTTCTGACTCTCTGAGCTCTTTCTAACAATCTTCTATCGTTTCTTCGAGGATAATCTTCTAGATATCCTTCTATTATTTCGGGTCGCAGCTTCTTTTTCTTCTTGGTTAGTTGCCGTTTTTCTTCCCCCCTCGCACTCGGAATTACGTCTTCGTATCTTGTGATCTCATTGGCACCTTCTGATACAGTCATATCAACGTAATCTCTTCTCACCCTTCCTTCCATATGCCTTTCTGTACTTATCTCCTGCTCTTCCCGCCATATGCTACCCTCTTTTGGTCCCCGGTCTAGAGAGTTCTCTGACAATCTGAATCTCTGCTGCCACTGAAAATATGCCGGTTCTGCCATTCTCATTGTTTTCCTGGACTCAAACCGTGAACTCTCTTCAAGACTACTCCGGTCTTGATCAGATATCTCTTTCGAATGTTTTACAACAAGTTTCCGCTGAGGCTGCTCTCCTTCTGTCGGCGGCCATATCACGAGTTCAGCTTGAACTTTCTCCATGCTTAACAATGGCTGCGTGATTGAAATAGTAAGCCTGCTGCTTGATGCAGCCTGGTTTCTCTCTGTATTAGAATACGGTAGTTCAGAAAGAGAAGGCTTGCGTGACTCGCTCTCCCCTCTTTCTCTTGTAAATGCAGGGATCAATGAATGCAAAGGTCTGTCAGATTCAACCTTTGATTCTATAGGTTGTGCCATAGAACTACCTGGAGTTTCTGAACCACGTTTATCTAACGTCCCTCCAGCGGGGATTCCAGACCTAAACCCCGGAGAGAGATCCCTGGTTTTGGAAGTTGAACCATCTTGTTTTGGAGCTTCAACTACAGAAACTTTTGTTGCACTTTCTGGCACAGGCTTCTTGTTGTTGATAGCTTTAAGCTTGACCTGGCCTGATAGATATGAAGAACTCTGTTTTCCAGCAGACTTCTTCATTTCTATACCTTCGGGATGTGATTCTGTATTTTCTCTGTATTTTGGGCAGTGTTTATTGGTTTTCATGTGTCCAGGCTGGCCATGAAGAAAATAGTCAAGCGTTTTTCTCTTTGAAGCAATTTTGTATTCATAATCTAGTTTAACAAGCAATTATACCTGGCCACAGGCTCCACAGACGAAGTTCCCTCTCGCCGGTTTTTTTTCCTTGAACACCTGGTTTAGACCGAAAGAACAGACAACACCTCAGAATGGGGATAAAGGTACTAGGATATAATTGCTTGTTAGACTAGAATATTAATGTAAAGCATGACCTGATGAGTTGACACAGTAATCGAAAAAGGAAAGGATAAACGGGTTTTGAAATTTGCAAACTTACACTGACATTTGTAGTGTCTTTGACAGTGCTCTCATTCACTGAGAAAGATGCATCTCCAAGGTTTTTGAGAATGGCGATAGATTTTTTTAGAATGACAGGTTCAACATTAGGCTGTGGAGGAGGAAAGGATCCCATTCCCTCTCCCACAGATTTCATCTTCTTTTTCTTCTTGTGATCCTCATCTAAATATGCACCACCGATCAGTAATTCACTAAGAAAAAGATCTTTAGCGCAAATGCTTAGTTGTATGCACGTACCTTGCATCAGCAATCGGCATAACTTGGCATATTCAGCAGCTTCATCTTCAATTTCTTCATCTATTTCAACTTGAGATGACCGCCGTCTCATCTTGAGGCCCTCAACTTCATCCAACTTTTCATTCTTAGACATATTAAATTCTTCCCCCTCCCCACCCTCCCCACCCTCCTCAGCATCAAGTAGAATTTCCAGATCACTGACAAAGGAGTCCAAGTCACTGTTCGCCTCATTTTCACTTTCATTCTCATCATTATCACAAGCTGAAAGGGACAGAAGTTGCCTATCCCAAATCTCCTGGCACTTTTCTCGGGCCTGCTGTTTCAACTGTAGGAAAGACATTCTCTGGTCACGGGCATACTTACCTATTGTTGTAGGGTCAACTTTAAGTACACCAGACGCAGCCTGCTCACTTGATAGCTTGCGTATCATAGCTATACGGTGCCATCGAGTTTGCTTGGCAATTATCTCATCAGGAACATTGAACTTGAGAAGAACCTATAAAGAGATCCAGCCAACCATATCTCACTTGGTCAAAATTCTAGACGCTCTTTTTGGTAGCAGTCTAGAAGAAATGAGAAGCTAGTAATATAGATGAAAACATCTGAAATAAAGAAGCAAACCTCTCGAGCTGCTTCTGTGCTTAATCTGCGGAGATCAGCATCTGTACCAGTGACAGTTGGGGCACCGTGACAGGCTGCAGCCTTTTTCTTTATACGTTCAGCTGCAGCTGGTACTTTTGGTGCAGCTCGGACGTAGCTGAATCCCAGACCCCGTCCAGAGGGATCACCAACTCCAGCAATTTCCAGACGCTCTATATTTGCTCTGTCCTACTCAAACCAAAAAATGAAAATCAGATAATTGAACATTGAACCGACCAAGTAACGAAAGAATGAACATCAAATACACTCCCACTGACAGGATTCAGAAAGAAGATTAACAAAACTAGAGATGAAAGAACTGAAATAGATTCTAGTCTTGCTTGCAAATAACTAATAATGTAAAGCTCGAGCAATGAGAACGGATGAATGACCATGCCTTTTATGGATTATGGATACAAAATAAACATAAACCTCACTGGATATAAAACACCCCAATACAGATAAGTGATGCTCACCTGAGTTGTACAAGCAACAAAATTACTGCTCAGATTCCATGGAGTAATTTGCAACTCCCTCTCAATATGTGATGCAGCGGCAAGAGCAATAGCTTCATCTGGGAGCTGAGCCATTGCAGTTGATATGCTGGCAGGCAACGTAACCTGGGTGATCCCTAAATGTTTGAGCCGGTGCAGCCCAGCCAGCATACTCTCATAGGAACACACCTACGCCAACAAAACATAGAAAACCATGCATCTTGAAAAAAACATTTCCACAAATAGCTCTCAAAGCTCACTAACTGCAGCTAAACAGTAGAAACAGATGGCGTGTATTTTAAACATGAAACAAACTCGACACTTACATCCTCTGGGGCCACCAGGTTTTTCAGATCATTCTCAGGTGGAATGTCATGTTTATTTTTCTTGGACCAGTAAAGCTGGCCATTTTTATCCCTCTGCATTTTGAATGTCCATGTAAGAGGTCAGCGTGACAATATGATACAGAAGCTTGCATGATAATGCCAAAA